CAGGTACCATTAGGCGGCTTCTCAGGCTGCGAGGCCCGCGGGTTTTCCCAAAGTGTTCGCTGTCCTGTCATACAGTCTGGGCAAACATTGTGGCGTCTGTTAAAAACAACAACGAACCGTGAGTGGAGGTTTCAGCAGATTGTTTGCGCTGGCCAGAGCAGAAAGGTAGAGGTGCCCAGATGAACTCTCGTTCACCTTTCAAAAATAAACTGTTTTGGTTCAGACTTTGGGCTGATGGTTATCCCACCTGTCATTGGTTTTGAACTCACCTTTCCAAGGCTTGAAGTAAACTCGCTGTTTCTCTTGGAAGTTGCTCCGTCTCCTTTGAAGTGCTGATTATCTCATACAGAGCTGGCATTTCGCGTCCAGCTGCTGTTCAGGCAGCCGGGGCTGGTGCTGGAGGCTAACGCAAGGCAAAACCTGTTGCCACACCCCTGGGCATCTGGAAAACGAGAAGGCACCTGGGATTCATTCACTGGCACAGGCTGCTGCTCGGAACGTGTCTCAGCTATTACCGTGAAAGCCCTGTGGGGTTATTTCTGCAGCCTGAGAGGGGAACAGCACAAGTCTGGTGGCTCACTGTGGCCGGTCGCTATGGTGCCCCGCCATGGCTCCTCTGCGCAAGGTCTCCTCCTTACTTGCGCAGACACAAAGTCCAGGCTAGTTGGGGGTTGTGCTGCTGGGGGGCATCTTCTGTCCAATGCCTGGGGTGTTAGGGTGCAGAACAGAGTCCTCTTTAAAGTCCTTCCTGCCTTTCGCGCTGTTTATGTTTTTCTGCAGGAGCAGGGCAAAATCTTCAATGGTTTGGATGTTTTCATATGGGTATTTAAATACATAGTAGAGGAATAAATATCACATTCAGTTCCGCAGTGAAGAAATAGGGAGGAGGATAAGTCTTGGGGTTATTATTTTATTCCATTTTTGCTTTTCCTGTAGGAAAATCTGCTTGATGACAGTAGCTAGCAGCTGGCCTGCTAGTGATTCATAAATATCCCTCATTCATTCATCTTATTTATTAAAATAAGAACAAAGTAAATGGCAAAACACAATGTCTCAAAGTGATGAACTCAGTCAATATATGCTACCTTACTTTGTCTGGCATTTTATTTTCTATTCATATGTTGTGCCTTATTCACAGTTGGGCCTCATACCACATACATGTACATGTATACACACATAATTTTTTTTTCTTTGTGAATCATCGTGCAGTCTTATAGGCAAAGTTATGAATCTTTTCACAAAATTGTGTCTCAGATACTCTCAGGTTTAGTCATAAAATGGATTATATCAAAGGTAAGGTATAATGCAAAGAAATAATAGAATATAATACAACTGGCAGCAGGCTACACTGACATTACACTCGTTTTTCTAGCATATCTGCGTGCAAACTTTCATATTGTTTACTTTTTATGGTAATTAAAAGAGAAGGAAGGGAAACCATATTACCAATTTCCCACTTCTCCATTCCTGTGTATGGGGCTCCCTGTCAAATCTGACTTAAGCCTTTCTTCACATGGGAACCAGCTATCCTTTTTCACTTAGAATTTTCTGTTTCTTTAGGAAAATCTTTCTCTCAGCCTTCTGCGTTTTATTATTGGCTGGTCTGCCATTCATATCAACCTACTCACTGCAATACTTTAATTTTTAAAAAACGTAATAATTCCTCAGGGTTTTAAGAAGAAAGCAAAGAGAGGCTACCAATCAAGATATCTATCATGACTGGGAATCCATCTAAGAGACTTGCTTGGAGTGACTGTGAGTATTTCAGGACTATTTTTGCATGGGTTCCATGCTTTCCTCCTAGAACCACTGTGCTGAGGAACAGAGGCATTGCTGTTGTCGTTGCTTCCATTTCTGCTGGAACTACTCTAGACTCTGGGCTGCCTCTGCTGCCAGCTGCAAGTGGAGCTAGCCCAGCCAACCATACACTGGGGCCGAGATGTGTTTGTTGTTCTGTAGAACTTAGAATGAATCTGGACCTTTGTGTCCATGATTTCCTTTGCATGCACGTGATCTGTGGGAGCCTAGAGCAGCTACTGCCAGAACCATCGTTTACACTTGACGTAAATGATGTGAGGAGAGGGAGTTTCACCAGCCTTGCAAAAAAGTCAGGATCTGCTGCTGGCGCTGCTGTTGCCTGTGGTAGGAGTTCAATACATAAATGTTGAGAAATCCTCGTTTATTGCATAACACTTTAATGTGTTATGTAGTGATGGTCTGGCAATCTTTGAGTACGTATTATGAGTTCTGATTCTCAAGACTCAGGAGAGATGGAAGAATTGCCTTTTGGCAAACTGGACTTGGATTTCAGCATACAAGAGACATTTTCTTTAATGAATTGAAGGTAAATGTATATGGTTGAATAAAAGGAAATAGCAGCAAGCAGATGTGTAGGACTCAGAGAAGCTTTCAAAATTAAGAGCAATGTTCAGTGTAACTAAAAACCAAACAAACAAGGAATGACATGTATGGATACAGAGTACCACTGGTAAAGAAAGGAGACAATTTAAGTGAATTGTTTGGTTAAAGTATAAATGTGTTTTCCTCATTTCTCTTTATAACAGCTGCCTTTGATTCAAAGCACACACAATATCCTGAAGATTCCTACAAGGCCCACAAGAAGAAATCAAAGGAGAAGGAAAAGAGACTGGCAGTCAGTCAGTGGGACACAGATGTACAACCCCTCATTTCATCGTCTAAATGGCTTCAACATCATGGACTCAAAAGAAACAAGTTGTCCTTACTCCAGATTTTGTCACAGATTGGATTCCGGCACAGAAAAGGTATAAGACAAATCAATAATAGAATAATAATAAAACTGCCAACTTTGAATAGTCTGTCAGGTCCCACTCATTTTGCACCCTGGAGGTTTTAATCTTTTATGAGAATGGCAGAAAGGGATGTTGTATCCGCAGTTGCTGACATTGCCAGTTCAGAGGACTGAGGAACTCCGTCTCCTTTTGATCCGAGAATGACTTAGGATCTGAGAAAGACATTCATTACTCAACTGTACGGCTGCTGTACCCTAGGCTCTAGTTCAAATCCTCTTCAGTTTAGCTATAGCTGGGGTTTGCTGCTGAAAATAACATGCCATAAGATCTCTGTCCACTTGTAGGTGGTAAATATAATGTATACCACGCCATAATCTGCAAGCTACTAGTTGATAATCCGGGCTGGACAATCTGCACGGGAATAGGATATTATTTCCAGGGATCCAGCTTGAAGGAATCAGTTAAATTTGATTAGAATTCAGGCTGCTCTTCATTCACAGTCAGGCTACAGGAAAATGTTCCTTTGCAGTTATCTGACAGCTGGAGGGGAAGAGTTTGCTAATAATTATTAATCGCTACCATAATAGTGCTTTGCAGAGCATGGTAGGGTATTCTTTTCTTTGAACAGCTTGCCTCCTAAGAAGTAGCAGTTGAAATGTATTGCAATTGTTTTAGATTGCATAATTTAAGATTTTGGCTGGCTTATGTCCATGAGGCATTCAAAAATCAACAGTGCAGATCCTGAAATCTTGTATGCTGTAGATGAGGAAGAAGCTGTTAAGCAGCATTAATGTTGTTAAAGTGTAATTTTAGGAGCAGAATGTACTAGCTTAGCAGGGCAGCATGCTGTACAGAATAGCTGCTTTGTGATGTTAAATATTCTTACCCATAATGTTTTCCCGTCAGAGGAGATCCTGCAGAAGATTTCTAGCTGCTGAAAGAGTAGAGTGTAACCTTTTCCTTAGTTGCACCCACTTCTGCACCCATGTAGTTGTGTAAGAGAACAGCATTATCTGTACCAGATTTTGTATTTTGTTTGATGGACAAATATTTGAAAGTTCTGTTGTGAGGTAAATGGATAATACAGAAGTCTAATTGCCTAAACCTTTCATTTATTGAAGTCCTATGTAGCTTTTTGGCCTATAAATAATTAAATGTGGGGGATTTCCCCTCTTCTGACTAAACTGGCAGGGAGCAACAAGAGTAGAGCTGCTCTGGGGGAGAAAATGATCCAGGAGCCAAAGGGGACCACAGCCCAGGCAGTGTCCTCAGTGACCAGGATGCAGTCTCGCATCACCTGAGCATCACAGACAGAGCAGGGTGCTGCTAACAGTGACAACAGACAGTGCCAGACAGGGTGAGATGATGAACCACCTGCTTCAGGGTCCAGCCGGGAGTGGAGCCAGGAGCAGCAGGAGATGGAGCCAGAGGCAAGATGGAAGATAAGGCCACAGCATAAGTCTGAGGGCCACATCCAGGACACAGAACTGGAGACTGTAATTCAGGGATGAGAGGTCAGTCCAGGAAAGAGGTCCACTAGCAGAATTTGAGACAGATACACCTACAACACAGCTAAAGCCAAGGCTGAGGGCTCAGGCCTGAGTGCCCTGTGAGTGGAAACTCAAGGTGAAGCTGGTCAAGACAATCTAGGGCTTTTGGTGCCCTCAGGACCCCATCATAGACATAGACATCAAAAATTATAAACCAAAAACATAACTAGAATTTCTCTCAGGTTTCCTGACGTCAGGAGCCTCACTCCTGGATGGTATGCACATCAACCTGAAAAATATATTTGAAGTAATCCTTATGATTAGTAACTTGATCTTTTGTAACTTTTACTGTAGATTATGTGACCACCTTGGGGAAACTTGTGGCTTCTCGGTATGCAGATGGTCTGTTTCCTCAATACAAGAGAGCTCAAGATGGCAGCATGTATAATGTAAGTGTAACTGACTTGTGGTAACTTCTTCTGTGTGCTTAGAAATTATTACCTCTGCAGCAGAATGATATGACTAAAATATCTCCCCATGGCATGAAATACTTACATTCTTTGTGGGAAGTTTATCTGTTGATCTTTGGGGGTTTTTTTCTTCTGTTTTGTCCAACTGTTCATGATAACAATCAGTGGCAAAGAAGCTAGATATCTTTATCATTTTTTGTTGCAGTCCTATGTTTTTGCCTTGGTGCAGCATTGCAGTAAATCTTTCCAGACAAGCCTGCAGTTTCTAAGCAACATTTACCCTGTCTTGAAAGAGGGAACACATAAAAAGAAGATGTTCAGCCGAGTTAAAAAAAATAAAATCATAGTCAATAAAACAAATGCAGATGCTGAAATAAGAAGACATAATGTGCTGTCATTGCCTATGCAAAGCGTTGCTTTGCTTAGTGCCAGCAGGTCACAAAAGGCTCAGCCTGCTCTATAGAGGCAGCTAGCTGGATCTCTGCCCAGGCTCATGTTCTAAGGAATGTCTTAGCAACAGCTGCTGGCAGCTCCATTGTTAAGAGGATGGAGTCTGATTGAAGAGATACGCATGTGAGCAAGGAGGGGAGAGAGTTAATTCATAAAGGATTTTGCAAAAGCAAGTGGCTTGTCATTTTTTTCTGATAACTAGAGTCACTTCTGGGCTTAAAAATGGGGAAAGAACCATTTCAGGAAGTCTTTTTCTCTCATTTTTTTCTTGTTAATTCCATGTGAAGTATTTACATAATGTCTTTTTATCTTAGGACTTTCTGAGCAATAGGAAAGACATTTCTGGTAACATTAAGGTAGGCCATTGTGTGCAATATTGTACACGATTACCACAGGTTGAGAAGAACCAGTTCAAACCAGAAGAGATACTGGAAGGAGCTAGGAGGATGAACTGCAGTGGCGTGCTGATCTTATAAGAGGGCTTGGCTGATGTTGATGGGTGTAAGTAAGACTGAAGAAGACTGACAAAGGTTAGCGTTATTGCCCTTGAATGGCTACAGAAAGGCAAATTACAGGGATAGGGAAAGTTATGGTTTTCTATACTGAAAGGCATGCTAGTCTAAGAATGAGTGGGTATGAACTGCCATGAATAAATTTAGACTGGACTGTCAGAAATTTTCCAGCCCTCAGAGAAACAGGAGTCAGGACTGGCCAACTACAAGTGAAGGGGTGGTGCAAGAAAACTGCTCTATTTTAAATGGAGTTTGAGCAGTATAGTGCAATAAACTTCTTTGTATGAGTCTGGCTGTCATAGGAGGAAACTGGGTTTTCTAAGTGCTTCTTCCCAGGCCTACATTCCTTTGGCAAACAGCCTGAGACACTGTATCTGAGAGGCACATTACAGGGCCCTAGTTGACATTAAAGAGCAGAGAAAAATGCAAATAAAAGGAGGAAATGTGCAGACTGATACACGAGGTATCTTCTCCCTAAGAAATGTTCTTGTTTAAACACATTTGTATCTCCAAGGTTTTGTACTTAGTCCCGGAAAGGTAGTTGGAGGTAGCAGGTAGAGGGTAAATTAGCTGCATGGGTCAGAGACATTGGAGGAAAGTCTTTACTGGAAACAACAGTGAATTTTTTGCATGGTAAACATGTACACATGTACTCACACGGAGGGTCTGCTGGTTTTATTTTTAATACTGCATACAGGCTTTTCTTATTTTACTGATACCGTATGGGAAGTTTTAGTTGTTGATTGCAGTTTTCTGAACTAAATTTGCCTAAGAACCTACCCACAAATAGTTAATCTGTAATACTGGGCATTGTTAGTGAAATAATAGTACCAACAGGAAGCATTTTACATTTTCCTTTCAAATGCTAAAGACAAGATGGAGTTTGAAGTGCCCCAGAACCAAACCCTATGCTCCCTTGTATTGCTGTAAAAAATTTTAAGAGCCAGTCAAAATTCTAGTATAAGAAGGCACAGAGCTTCTGTGTCCTTGTTTGTTCACCCATCTGCTCTGCAGTCCTTTCTAGATCCTAGCCTGTGTTCAGCTCATTCTAATTGCTCCAGTCTTAAGACAGACAAGTAAGACAACCCACTGGCACTGTCCCATGCTCATATAAAAAGATTATGAAAAGCAATTAGGACAAAATGCAATGTCTTTTCTTTATAGCTTAGATGCATTTGTCAAGTATTTTCTCTTGAAACAGTGGAAGAAAAATGGGTTGTTTTCACTGCTACTTTGGCTGGCATATCTGGCACTTGGAATCTAGCTACTGCAGCTGTGCTAAGCTTGGGGCTGCATTTGTATTATTTGTTTTGATGTTCAATTTCTTTCTCTCCCTTATTTAAATAAAGCTGACAGCCAAAAAAGAACTGATTCTTCATTTTGTGGATTGTCTAATGAGAGCTATTGAACTATATAAGCAGCGAATGGAATGGTTAACCAGTGAGAGCCGGCAGATATTTGGAGTGATTCAAGAACGATGCATTGTCATTGTTTTGGATTTTGGCACTGTGTCATCAGCTGAATTTGATCTATGTCGGGATGCACTTTCTATGGTACTTGTGGAACAGGTGACTCAAATTGCCAAATTCAACCTCATTCGGTAAGCAGCAATAATCACAGAATCATAGAAAAACCATTCTTGGTTTGGATTGAAAGGGGCCTTTAAATGTCATCTAGTCCAACCCCAGTGCAATGAGCAGGGATATCTTCAACTAGAACAGGTTGCTCAAAGCCTGGTCCAACCTGACCTTGAATGTTTCCAGGGATGGGGCATTTATCACCTCTCTGAGTGACAGGTTACAGTGTTTTGCCACCCTCATGGTAAAAAATTTCTGCCTTATCTACCCTCTTTTAGTTTAAAACCATTATCACTTGTCCTATTGCCACAGGCCGTGTTAAAAAAAGCCTGTTCCCATCTTTCTTATAAGAATTTAGCTCAGTCAGTTGAGCGTGGCACTAACAATGCCAAGGTGGTGGGTTTGATTCCCATTCGGTCCCCATGTGTTGCCTGATCTAGTCGAGAGGTGGCGTCCCTGGCGACAGGGAGGCTGGATTAAAGTGATCTCTAAGGTCTCTTCCAGCCTAGGCCATTCTATGATTCTATGAATCACAGAATTACAGAATCTCTTTGGTTGGAAGAACACTTTAAGATAATTGAATCCAACCATTAACCTAGCACTGCCAGTTCACCACTAAACCCTAAGCACCAGATCAACACGTTGTTTAAATACTTGCAGGGATGATGATTCCAGCACTGCCCTGGGCAGCCTGGTCCAATGCCCGACGACCCTTTCAGCGAAGAACTTCTTCCTCATATCCAGCCTAAACCTCCCCTGGCACAACTTGCAGCCATTTCCTCCAGTCCTGTCCTTTGCTGCTAGGGAGAAAAGGCTGATGCTCTCCTCTCTCCAACCCCCTTTCAGGTAGTTGTAGAGAGCAATAAGGTCTCCCCTCAGCTTCCTTTTCTCCAGGTTAAACAATCCCAGTTCCTTCAGCCTCTCGTCATAGGACTCCTCATAAACCCCTTTTGAAAGGCTGCAGTAAGTTCTCCCCAGAGCCTTCTCTTCTCCAGGCTGAACAGAGTAGTCCATGTCTGCCCAGTACTGGAGAATAACAAGGAGTTGCATAAAATATAGACACGTGTTTGGGTAATGTACCTTCTGTAGCGTAAATTGTTCTGATTCACATCAGAATAATAGCTGTCTATATGGTAATATCTATAGATTTTTCACCAAGTTTCACCTACAGTCACGCTAAGCTTGCTACTTCCATTTCACAGGAAACCATTGTTATCCTGAAAAACAGATAAATACTAACAGAACCCAAATATTGATATATGCCTTCTACAACTGTAGCACATAAAAACAGAAAGGTAAGGGAGACTTGGAAATAGCAACTTGGAGCAGCAATGCTCTTCAGGCACAGAAGTGTTACAGAGTGAAACAGTGAGGTACCATCCATCTGCTAAGACAGTCTTGTGTCTTTCAACATTATAAGTTTCTGCCTTACAGCTAAATGTACACACCTCCAAGTGCCATAGGCACAGGCATAGTCGTTTGTATTTCTATAGATCTCCATGGTCACAGAAATCAGTAGCAGAACTGGGAAACAATACGAGATTTCCATAACAAAAGACAAGCGCTTGTTCCCTAACATGAATAACTGAATTTGGATTTAGTTACAAATAGAAAAATAGAAGCAGCTATTCAGTTTTATACATCTCCACACAAATTCTCTTATATGCATAAAAGTTTGAATGAGTAAGCTTGAGTTTGGATAGATAAGTAGAATTTTGTGACTATGAAAAAATAATGCATAAATTAGGTCATATAGTTTTTAAATTGTTTCCACAATGGTAACTTGCAACTTCAATGTAATTCTTAAAGTCGTTTCACCCAAACTCTGTCCTACAGATTTGATTCTGGTGCCCTATCTTAATTTTCTAGATAGTGATACAACTGAGATTAGAAAAGTAGAAGATAACTTCCACAGCTTTTGAGAAGAACATAAAACATTTTCTTTGAAAATTATCTGCAAAGCCGAATCAAAACTGAGGCACAATAATTGTGTTCATTGATTTTTTGTTTGTTCAGGAGAGATGCAAAGTACAATATACCATATAAAGTATTAATTTAAAAGAATCTTTGAAAACGCACTTGTCTTTTATATTTTCATTAAACTCTTCAAAACAGTGCTTGATGGAATGTCACACATACTGGAACCAGTTAGGTTTTTCATTTGCTTTCTGGGATTTTTACTGCCGTTAAGACTAAGCCCTTTGATCACTTAAAATATCCAAAAGTTTAGCATCACAAGCTTTATTTGGATGGGTAGATAAAGATCAGCCTTACTACAAAGAAAATTAAAGGTCTGACACAAAGGTCATGCATCAAGCTGTGGAAAGAGACCTGTGGAAAACAGATTTTTTTTTCATACATGTATTTTAAAACATGTTCTTTCTATATTAAGGGGAGATATGAATTAGAAACTGGTTTTAAAGTTCTTTAACTCTCTCAGGAGTGTTTTTCTAAGGGCTTTATTTTTTCTCTATTTCTTTTATTGCAAGTCTAGATGTGGTATCTGGTTTTGGGTTTTTTTTGGCAATTATTAAGGATATGAAAGAATAGTAACAATAGCAGAGCTCCACTCTTTTGCTCTCCCAGCACTATTGTCACTATTTCTCATTTACAGTTAATGTAATTTTCAGGGCTGCTCAGGACCTTATGAAGTGGCAACAGAAACCCATTCCTGTGTCTGAGCATACTGTAAAGTCTGCTGTTACGTGGCTCTGGAAGCTGGACCATATGACAGCTGCCAGCCCTACCAGCTCTGCTGAAGCCCTCTTGGAAGCCAGGAGCGATGATGTGGTAAGTTCTTACATCTTTTCAGAAGCGTCAAGTAAATCCAAGAATATTCAGTGCGAGACTGGCTACTGTGATTTGCCGTGATGAATATTGCAAAGATTAATGTTAATGATGGCATTTGGAAAGGTTTTTTTGTTGTTTTTTTTCCCTAGTGTAGCTGCATATTATGGTTACTGATTGCCTGTTTATGTAAATGTACTATATTCTGAATGCAGAAACTTGCTTATTTTCTTTCTAGAGTACACATAATAAATAACATAGTC